TATACCGATCTATAATACTTAAGACCATCCTTATACCGAGCTAAGGAGGAGTTCATACCGAGTAATGATCGGTACTACTACGACGTATTAATATTTATTAGCTCGGTACAATTGTGCACCGAGTTTAAACCGATATATTATAATCAGTACCGATCGTATACCGATCTTTAATAATGAATACCGACCTAATACCGAGCTATTATAATCAGTACCTAGCGTATACCGATCTATAATAATGAATACCGACCTATAACCGAGCTATTATAATCAGTACCTAGCGTATACCGATCTATAATAATGAATACCGACCTAAGAAAAACTTCATACCGAGTAATGATCGTTAATACTAAAACCAACGTTTGATACCCAGTAATGAAACAGTAAAAAGTAAAAAAAACAAACAGTATTTATAATAACTTACTACTATTAGATCAGAAAAAGCTTGATCAAAGTTTAACGTCGGAGTTTCCTCGTAATCGAAGAAGTCTAAGGAAGCAGAACCTTCATTCGATCCTTCAATCTCCTCAAATACTTCACGATTTCTTTACGTGAGGTATATGAGAATTATATCAACCGTAAAGACTGTAGAACATCTTAGGTTTAATACAGAAAAGATTATTATACCTGAGGTAAAAGCCGCGTACTTTTTTTAGTTTCCCACGCATTTCATATACATTACGACGGGCCAACCCGAAATATTTTAAAAAACGTGCTAAAACATATGGGCTGTCGTCGGGTCATAAGGGGTAAAGAGACATGCCAGATGTCGCGATTTTAAGCGATACCGAACGTAGGATGCGTCAGGTAACCTGAGCCAATAAAAATTCCCTTTTATCATTGAGGATTATTCAATTCTGGTAGAGAGGGCCCGAAGGATTGAATCCGATTTGCAAGCTACTCAGAAGAGGAGGGATCAGCATAAATGAAAGAGTTTTGATGAGTATATACAAAGTAATCTGATTCGAGGATCAAATGAGAAGATACCAAAGTGGAGTCAGTGGTGCAACTGTAAGTAAAGTCACTGAACATTGTGCTAAGTGTGGCAGATTACATAAAGGTGAATGTTTGATTGGTTCCAACACTTGTTATTGGTATTATCAGCATGGACATAGCAAAATATTGTCTTGCATTGGTTCATAAAATTTCAGGAGAAATGAGACCAAGTGAAGCACCTTCACAAAAGAAAGAGCAGCGTCGCAATGGAGAAAATTGTGCTCCGCAGCGCTGTTCAGACGTTGTAGCTCCAAGGAAGGAGCAACGCCGCGATGCTGGAGATGGCCTTGCAGCTTCAAATTGCCTCATCTCCACAACACAATAGTTGGGTCAATTACTTGGTGAAATGACATGTCGATTCAAACCCAACACTGCAGCAGAGGGATTCATGAGTGTCGTAGCATTATTATTTGCAGCGCTGAGATGCTAGAATCAGTTAATGTACTTAAATATAAATAGTCCGTTGGTCAAATTTGTGGGGGTTGGCTTCATTTTCATGTGCAAAATAGTCTAGAGAGTGAAGGAGTGGGAGTACATAAAGGAAGTCAATCTTTGTACTAGCAGAGTTTGAATCAATTAGAAAAGCACTTCTGGGTAACATCTATACTTGAACTCCTTTTGTATTTTATTTTTACTAATAAATGAAAGTTGTTTTGTTTTATCTCAATACATTGCTGCCTAAATTCTTTGTTTTGGGTTTATGATGTGTGTGAAATCAAGTATGCTTAAGTTTGGTTTATAAGTTTATGAAGTGTGTACAATGTTGTTTTGAAGCTCTTGTTCTTCATTTATTTTTTGCGTTGGTCGTTCATTCACTTAAAAACAGTTGTGTTCTATTGCCTCAATGGAGGAATAGAGGAATAATTAGGGGAGTTAAAATTGAACTTTATCATACATAGACATATGGTGGTTAGGGTTTTGGAATTATAAGATATCGTATCACTGTAGTTGGTGAAAATTTAGCTTTACATTCTTACATGCTCGACAGAGACCTAGAAGTAAAATTGCTCAACCTTGAATTAAAACAAACTTTTGCATAAATTGAATTTCTTTACCATCATAGGTTCAAAACACTTGAAATCTAGAGTTTTCTTTTCAAAACTATATGATTTGTCGCACACACTTCAAATTCCGCTGGCTAGATAAACTTAGTGATTCACATAGACAGTACTAGAGTAATATTAGGATATTTGAATTCCTCCTGGGAACGATACTCAATTCACTTATGTATTGCTTGACATGACATATACACTTACATGAAATGAGGGTTTGTAATCTATAATACACACCTGTCAAATGGTAAATGGTGAAAAGATGGTTTCACAGCAAATACCAGTCCGAGCTCAAAAACATTAAATGTGGACACATTAAGAAGGCTGGTGGAAGTACATTATAGTTATCAAATAAGATTAATAAGGTTCAAATCCTTGTTTTGTTACCATATTAAAATGAGGGAGACTGTGATAGAATTATTTGTGTTGAATTGTTGCTTAGTACAATGTGCCTTTATATAGATAGAAAATGAAATAATAACAGAAAATACAGTAAAGAAGAAAATGCTTAATAATGAAGGAATATTATAATAATGAATAGTAAAGATTATTGCTATAAATATTTTAGTACATATGATAATATGGATATAATAATAGTGAGAATTAAAGAAGAACAAGAAAAATGTATTATATATGCTTATATATAGGTAGAATATAAAGCAATAATTAAAAATACAATAAAAAAGAATATTCTGAATAATTAAGGAATATAACAACAATGAATAGTAAAAATTCTTGCTATAAATATTTTAGCACGTGTAATAATATGGATATAATAATAGTGAGAATTAAAAAAGAAAATAAAAATGAAAAAGAAGTTATGTTCTTCCCGTTGCTTGTAAGTGATGCAATACTGAATTGGATTTTGTACAAGTGGTGACTAATTATGTCACGACCTGACCCGGTTAGCTCGCATAGACGAGGCGGGAACGGATATCAGACTTAAATGATATAACATAGCATTTCATTATCAGAGAAACATGAAATATAAATCTAAAACAACTCGAGAGATAATTTAGCGCCTCTAAAAATAACAACTAATTTTAACAAAACATTTCATATAATAAATCAACGAAGTATAAAGGTGGACAAAATTTTTCTTTCTTTCATGTCAAATTCCACCCACAAAAATCATTCCACAACTACAAAAATATACATAAGGAACCTGTCATCCGGTCCTCTACGGTTGTACGTAAATCAGGATCATTCAGTCATTCACCTAGCAGTGGGGTCTCTTGAAAATATCCCAAAACTATGAAATGAACTAACGCTCAGTAAATAATAATTACATCTAAAATTCATGTGCCATGTAGAGGAAAACAATATGCAAAATTGGTAACATATTTACATGCAAAAGTAGTCCAGTAATTAACTCTTTCTATATGTCATATGCTTCTATGTGTCGATGTCATATGTTATATGTATGTCAATGCCATATGCTCTTTCCTATACATCATATGCTTAACATATTTATTTATTACATGATGTACATTATATCACATGTTCATATACCTCTATCTCATGCATATATTATACATCCGTACCGGAGTACTCATATTATACTGATTAGGTACAATCTCATAATTGGCTATTTATCATCATTTTGCAACGAAGAGCCGTATTGTGCAAGTGCATTGTATTTGGTACTCAGCCTCAGCATGCACAAATTTGCATTTTGATCTCATAACATAAGATGATGTAACAATATCAAACATACATATGATGAATTTGATTTAAGCATTAAAGTGAACTTTAACATATGAAGAGCTCTATATTTAACATGCAAAGCACTATGTGAACTTTTGTATAAAAATTTTATATCTAACATGCCAAGTACAATGTGACATATACATAGTAAAGTGCAATGTAACATAAACATAGTAAAGTGCAATGTAACATGATATACTTAAAAGAAAAACATGAAATTTAGAATGTAATATCACTTCCCTTAAGCTATTTGCTAAACTTCTTGAACCGATCTTATCTTAGGTTTAACCTAAAGAACACAAATTCTAAAATTAATTTCACATGCCAATTCTCTTATTAAAGTTCTCATTACATAATTAAATTGTCTAAATCTCCCTTCCTATTTGATCTTATCCTTCCTATTTGTTTTACCTAAGAATTAAATGAACTTTAATATAAAATTTTCGGATTAAAATAATTTAGAAATTTGGGAAAAATATTTTTTTTAATCAAATTCTCATTTTCTCTTAATTAGAGACTTCCTAAGACTCCCAGGAACAAGATTTGATAAAAAAATATTAAAGTTCATTAAATCTTCCTATACCCTAAACTAAAATAGTTGCTTAGCTTGAAATCTACAGCTTCAAATTGTTCCTCAACTATTTTCCCAGAGTGATAAAACTTGCTGCAAAGCTTGTTTTTTATAGTTCTTTTCAGTAGTTTGTGCACTTTTTTAATTTCATGTTCAAAATTTAGCCAAGGCAATATTATTCTACACTATGAATGCTTCACTTGCTTTTTAAGTATAGGTTTCACCATTCATGCCTAGGCGAGAACACACATTTTAGTTATGTTTGTATTATTTTTTTAGCTATATCATTTCAAATGCAATTAGCTTTGTTTCCACCAGACCTCTAACCTTAAAAAATCAAATTACCTTTTTTATTGTGAATTAAACCTTCTTTCTCTTTCGTATATGGCCTTGTTCTGTAATGTTAACTGCTCCATGAATCTGCCTTTTTCTCTCCTCCTTTATAATAGTGGTGGAGATGAATTCAACTTCCTGAATAAGGCTTCGTTTGGGATTGCTTCTTAAAGCAACTTTTTAGTACAAAAATTTTAAGTTTTGTATTAAAAAGCTATCTTAAGAATCAGAAAGAAAGCCACTCCAAATGAAGCCTAAGCCAAATGATATCCCTTTAAAGTTCCTGGGATAAAATTTCACTATTTCTAAGTTTCTTTACAAAATATTTCTTTATTATATACCAGGAGCTACTATAAATGCACCAATCCTGGATGTTCCGTAAGGAAACATGTTGAAAGAGCCTCCCATGATCCAAAAGCAGTAATAACCACATATGAAGGCAAACACAATCACGATGTTCCCGCAGCGAAAACTACCAATAACAACAACCGTGAGTCATCCCCGCCATTGATAACGGATGCCAATATTCCAAGGACTTATATCACACATCAATATTCTCAACCCGAAGAAAATAATGCCATAAATCTTCATCTCGGTGTTGGGGTTGGTTCCAATCACAACAATTTATTAAATGAGAAACAACATCTATCAGGTTTGGAACGAATCCCGAGCCATCATCATCATCATCATCATCACCAATACATTAGTTCTGATTGCAACAATGTCATGATCCAACTAAACCCTGTATCAAAACTTTATGGAAGCTCAAATAATGTTGTGTTTGGATCCAGAGACAATAAAGGAGAAGGTTTTTCTTTTAGCACTCAAATGAACAATTCATCCAGCCATTATTACCCAAGAGCAGATAATCTAGTAATGGGGCCATGAAAGTAGCAAGAAGCTCTGCAATGGTGGCTTAAAATGTTTGTGGAATATAATTTATTTCTGCCTCTTGTGACTGGAACAACTACAGGTGGAAGGTTTTTACAATTGTATAGAAGTTTCATTCAACTGGAAAGAAGAGCATGACTTCTGCTGCAGCTTACAAGGAATGTATTGGTGAATAGAGGCAGCTGAGTTGCTGAGTTATTGGGCAGAGTTTCTGAGCTTATGTAAGAGTATTTTAGATATTGCTCAAATCATACTTATTGCTGTGTAATTATGGAAAAAAATACTGGATATTTTTCCTGTTTTAATGTTTTAATTGCCATTCGAGATCATTCAGACATAGTTTGTTGATTTGAAAGTTACATGCATGATTAATTATTTTATAGATCGTTGCATTGTGTAATTAAGGATTCATTTGGGACGATTTTTTTACTGCATCTTAAAGCAGTTTTTTAGTTCAAAAATTAAAAAGCTGCTTTAAGCAGAAAGAAAGCCGTCTCAAATGAAGCTTAAATTTAAATCTTTGATAATAACTTTGTTGCATATATTGTTATATTTTGCTTTAATATAAGATAAAAAAATTTCATTTTTTTTTTCTTGTAAAATGGCATGAGAATAATTTACCAAATAAAATTAAAGAAAATTTAATGAAGTTATAGCTAAATTATGTATGAATTTTCATGATAGGTAAAAATTTATTAGGAAGATGAACTAAGAAATATTAATAATAGAAATATAGTTGGATTGACATTTGTTGAAGATAAAATAATTTAAAAAATAAGTTTAAAGGTACTATAAGAATATTATATAAAATAATTGTCTTAAATGTTATTTGTAAAGAATATGTTTAATATTTCAAGCAAAAAATAACAAAAATATTTTTTATTAAAAATATGAATTCATAAAATAAACCTGACCTAATTAGGATAAAATTAATGATGATATTAATTATTAAATTAGACTCTAAATCCTGAAGCTAAGCAGCTAATTTAAGCAAATTTATTCCTTAGCAATTTTATCTAAAGTTCACCTTGCAAGCACCATGATCCAGTTATAATCACCAATAGCACATCAAATCTTAATACTATTACAAGCTTGTAAGCTGCATGAACAAATTTTTAGCCATAAGCACTAGAAATCAGAACATCCAGCTCTAGACCGTCTTCAATTAGAGAGATTATTACGTGTAGAGTCCGAATATAGCTTGTATTTGGACCCTAATCACATGCAGTCACGTCAGTCTATACACACATTGTTTGAATGCAACTTGCATCCAAACTTCAATCACATACGGTCACGTCAATCTATACACACACTGTGTACAATTTGTACACAGTGTACAGTCGACGTAGCCGCTTGTGATTGTAGTTCGGACGTCATCCGGACTCCACACATAATAATTTCTCCTTCAATTAAACAAATAAATCTAATCACCAAGCTATCAATACACCTATTAATTTTTCTAAGCAGAGCCTGTAAGCATAAACTAGTTTTCACATCTTTCCTTGATAATATTAGATTCCAAAACATAACAAAGTTGCTTTAGATAAAGTAAGCTTTAGCTTATTATCTCCAAACCAAAAAAGATATTAGAGTTTATGATCTGTATAGAACCTTACAAAGTGGGATAACGCTATTAAGCACTGACACCACAAAAGCTCAAAGCTAAGCAGATGATAAGCACCTTTTTTCTTCCTTTATTCTGCCCTTTTAGCACTAATTCCTGACCAGGTTCTTCCCTTTTAAGGCTCTGTCCAAAAATTATTACCTGCGTAGTCTATACGTCCTGACTCAAATCAAAACAGGCCACATCGTCCGTCTGTACACATCCTATGTACAGGTTTATACACATGATGTGTATAATACACACCTTGTGTACAGACGACGTGACCAATTTTGATCAGAATCCGGGCGCATCCGAACTCCGCACTTAATAATTTCTCCTCAACAAGTAAGCATCTGCCAAAACCTTTTCTAGACTAGCTTCTCATTGAATTAATCAACTGGTTTGGTTAGGAAACTGGGCTGAAACTAAACCTGCTATTCAAGAAAAGATGACTGAAATATGATTTACATGTTTGATGGGTTTCTCTTAATCCTGCTGTAACTCTAATTTCAATCACAATTTTATTTTTACATGATAAAAAACATTATTCTGCTTCTGCTTTTTCTGTTAGTGAACCTAATACCACAAATCTAAATCACTAAGGCTCAGTTTCTCACCATTCTGAAAAAAATTATAAAATTTAAAAATCATTAGAAGTTAAAGAAGATAGGATAAATAACAGATAACATCAGAATAAGAACACATAGCAGCATCAAAAAAAAAAAAAACTACAGAAAACAATTAAAATGAGCAGCCACACCCTTCCATAACAAAACAGGACTTGAGCATTCATTTGAAAGCAAATTTAACATTTCATCCAGACTAACCTCCAACTGCTGCATTACATAGGCTTCGTTTAGGACGGCTTTTTTATTGCTTTCTAAAACAGCTTATTAGAAAACTACTTTACGAAGTAATAAGAAAGCCGTTTGGGACGAAACCATAATCATTTCAAAGCCACTTCATACGGTATAGACTGATCAGTGGCTTTGAAAGAGTAATTTCAGCTGGTTTATAGTTCTAAAAGGTTTCAAAGAGTAATGTCAGCTACTGAAAAGGTTCCATAGTAATCGCAATTCTGATTTGTGGGAAAAACTCAACTCAGTCATTACTACAAGAGAAAAAGAGTTTATTTAGTACAATATAACACAACAACACAACAATAACAACACTAACGGTAACAAAAGAACTCCAGAACAAAAAAGTCTTTTCACCTCTTCCTGTGTTGAATGTAGAGTTTGATGAGTTGGGTTCTAGAACTAACAAGTTACAACTTGATTGAGAACAAAAGAAAAATAGAGTGCTATAAAGGATCACAATCTGATTAGTCTAACCTTCATCATCTCCAGGCAGAGGAAACAACCAAAGCTCTATTCATCCATCCAAGATAAAGAGCTCCATCAATCTCTTCAAGCCTATATTTATCACAGTAGTTCTCCAGCAAGGATTTGATTGTAGCATTCACCAATGAACTCAGGGGATATGGTGTGAAGCCTGCCATTTTAAACCTTGATTTCCATTTTCCATGAACCTCGTGCCGCTCGACCCTTTCAATCCCTTCGCAAGCGATTATATTAACAATGTCTCTTGCAAGACAGTGCTGTTCAACATTAATCCTCTCCTTGTTGTCTCGTGGGAGAGTTACATCGATTGATTCAAATATTGCTGTGTAATGATCCAGAGTCTCCATGAATCGAGGGAAGAAAGCCGCAGTATTCGTGTTAGATTCTTGCTCGACAAGAGTCACGACCTTCGGTGTAAGACTCTTCACCAACCTCAGGATCCTGTCACGGTGGTTTGTTGTGCTCACACTCTCATCAGGTATGTGATGAAGCTGGAAAGCCAAGTTCACAGCCAATGCCTCCCCCGGCCGGACGCCAAGATTTTCGACTTCAACCTCGCATCCTGACATTAGTGCAGGGTGAAACTCAAATGGCACCTTGCATGATTCTGCCAACCGGGATAACCTTTGCCCCACAATATGCAAGCCCCCGCCGCGTGCATAAGCATTGAAAGAGTCATCAATGCCGGTTATTCTCACATGAGGCGGTCCACCGGGCCTTGCGGCCAGCGCTTGAATGAGAGTCACCCACTGGCTTCCCTGGGCGATCTGGAAGTCGATAATGTGAACCCTGTCCTCATTCTTGAGAGCTTCAGCAATGGCTCCATTAGCAGACATGTAACCAAATTTGAAGTAAGGGCAGACCTCATATAGAATATGCATATAAGACATAAGATCTGAGCTAGCTGGTTCTTTACACTTCAAAGCTTTGTAGATTGAGCTGCCTGAGGAAGAAAGGCGCGCAACAAGTCCTTCGAGCAGGTATGCTCCTAGTCGTTCGATCGGTTCCCCTGAGACCGAAACCATTTGCCTTAGCTCTGTAATCAGCCATTCAGCCGCTGCGAAATTACTTTCACTCACAGCTCGTGCACAAGCAGTTAGTACATGCCTGAGATCTCCACTTGGAAGCTCCATTAGTAGCTCAAAAGTATCAAAGCTGTCTACTGCATCAAGTTCAGGCCCAAGCATAACGCTTTCTAATTCTTTTAACTTACCCTTCAGATCATTCAGATCTTCAGTTACACAGGAAGCACTGATAGGAGATTCAGAAGCGGTATCTGAATGGCAATCTTGATGAGATCCTTGGCTATCACTGGCTGATGAGAAACTGGCTGTTGAAGGCGAGCTGTAAGTGTAAGTGGCAACTGCTGAAGAGGATTCAAGAGTGCAATACTGCACATTACTCGACTGAGGAGAAATTTTTCTCATCTGAGATCCATGACGTGAAGATTTGAAGTTCTGAGGTAGATAATTGGGACCTGACTCTCTCAAATGCATGGAGTTTTGAAGAGAATGTGATTGCTGGGACTTACCAGAATTTCGGCGATTATCTGAAGCTTGCATTGGTGTAAAATTAACTAACATGACAAACTCAAGACAACGCAAACCATTAACAGAATAAAATGTTAACTCTTCAATTATCAGAACTGTAAATGTTGTGTCAGACCAACACCTTCTCTTCAAAAATTAACGTTGACTTTGTTATTGAAGGAAAACTTTTTCCGGTGGAAAAATTGGTTTTTGGAAAGTGATTATCTGCAAAAGGGGAAATTTAAAGTCAACCACATGCCCAAAATAGAGAATGAAGCAAATAGGAGCACTACTGATGATAATTTCTTCCTAAGTTACAACTTTTATACCAAGAAAACGTGTCATTTTGGTGCTGATCATGAAGGAACTTCTAAGGAACAAAGTAGCATGCTAGGGAGTGATAAACCTTACAGAACAAAAACAAGACAACACATTTAATTGATTTCTATGCTGATAAACCTCAAAAGATAAGCAAAATTGCAATTTCTTCATGTAAGGTTTGTCACTCCCCACTTGCTTTTGCCGTGCAACTTCTATACCAAGGAGCTGTGGAATATATTAGAGCCGATCATGACGCAGCTTCCGAGGAACAAAATAGCATACTAGGGAGAGTGGCAGTGCTTACGGAAGAAAAAAAAGTTACAAGATTTGATTGATTTCTTTTGCCAGTAGACCTTCAAAAGATAAGAAATATGTCACTCATAAGCTGTGTTATGTTGCTACTGATTATGATGCAGCTTCTTAGGAATAGCATAACATAAAGGGGAAAGACAAAGCTTACAATACAAAAATAAAACTATAAAACATGGTTGATTTCTATGCTCAGTAGACCTTCTAATGATGAGCTATATTGGCATTTCATCATACATCATTCAATCAAAATTTACAAATAAAAAGAAGTGAACACTGCTATGATTGTCATTTCTTCATGATCTGAAGGGATGATACCTTTAAAGCCCACATTAACCAATGGTTCAAGTGCAAGATTGCATGTAATTGTCATTATGTGCCTTTTATTTATTTGCAAATTCTATCATTTGGCATTTGTGCAATTTTTAATTTAGTTGAACCTCTATATAGTAAGTCAAAGATTCCCTCTTAAATGGGAGAAATTATTCTGTGCGGATTATGGACCGTCCGGAGGCAAATCACAGTGCGCATCGTCACCCGGTACACAGCAGTGTCGAGCATGGACACTCAGCAAACGGGTGACGTGACGCGCTGTGATTCGCCTCTGGACGGCTAATCCTTAAATGGTGGAGACCATTGAGCAAAAGTTTTCTTATTTTTGAAAGAATATTGCAATAACAGTTTCATCCTAAACCTAGAATCTGGTCGCCCTATCTAGTTATAATTTCTTCTCTACTTTTCATTCCTCTCCCTTCTCTTCCTCTCCCAAATTTAATCTGTTAGTTTTGTTTCAGTTTTCAAACTTAGACAAGGAAAAGAATCAACCTAATCATCTACAGAACAAGATTTCATGAATGGAAATCTGAATTGAAAAAGAAAAAAAGCATATTAAAAAAATAGTTTAAGACTATTAACAAAGCCTCTCAAACAGAAATAAATCCGTCAAGAAGGAAGAGAAGTCTTAAGAACTTATAATAATATATTACCACAGATCAAACTCTGGTAAAATGAAAATTTTTGTTTGTTTGGAAAAGAAAAGTTAAAATTCCAAATCCAGCTATACTCTTCATAAAAGGGAGCACAAAGAACAACTGGAAGAGCTTTTACAGCTAAAAGTAAGGCCAATTAATACAGAAAAGGTAAAGAAAGCATCTTGCACGGCCTAAATTTCTCTACAGAGTCAAAATTTCAGAAAAGAAAATATTGCAGCTTCAGAAGATAGTAGAACTTAGGTTGAAATTTCCAGTGACAAATAATAAGCACAGAAACAAAAACTAAAACTCACAAAAACAGAAATTTCAGGCAAAGCAGCAAAATTCAAAATTTCTCAAATCTGACAAAAAATCATCAGCTTTCAAAGGAAAATTAGAGGATTCCAAACCCAAATATGATCACAGGAAAAAAAAAGATTATTTTTCATAGAAACTACACCTGTTTAAAAATTAAAGAAGATTTCATAACGCCTTTCTAAAATTATAGCAGAAACCAAGCTTCAGAGATGGAAGGCCCTTCTCACAAAAATCAACAGAAAAATAAGCTAATGGAAACTTTGAAGGTTCCACCTATTCTTACATACCTTCAGTTGATTCTCAGGCTACAGCTTTGAATTCAATCAAACACTAAGAGAGAAGAGAGAAGAGAGAAGAGAGAGGAGAGAGAGAGAGAGAGAGAGAGAGAGAGA